TTGATTAGATCTTAGAGCGTGGCATGTTAGAAAATACAAGAGAAAACCTTGGCACGTAGCGTCAATGATAATAGAAAGGTGAAGAGAAGATCCAAGAACGTAGCATCAATGATGTTACTGTAAAAAATTGAAAAGAAGATCGTCGAGCTAAGGGTCAGTGATGTTCAACACTTGAAAAGAAGATCTTAGAGCGCAGCATTGATGGTGTCAGAACATGGAAAAGAAGATCTTAGAGAGTCGCGTCAATGATGTTGGAAAATTTGAAGAATCTTGGCGCGTAGCATCACTGATGTTTCAAATTTGAAGTAAAGATCTTGGAACGTAGCTTCAAGTATGTTGGACAATCGAAGAGAATATCTTAGAGCGTAACATCAAACATGTTTGAAAATTGAAGAGAAGTTCTTAGAGCGTAGCATCAATGATGGTACAATGGGAGAAACATGGAAATAAAATCGAAAAACATAGCATCAATGCGGGTAGAATGTGAGAAGAAAACAAAAGAAATCTTAGAGTGCAGCATCGATGATGTCTGAAAAGTGAAGAGAGTATCTGAAAGCGTAGCATCAACAATGTTGGACAGTTGAGAAGATCTTTGAGCGTAGAATGGCTGATGTTGGAAACTTGAAGAGAAGATCTTTGAGCGTAGCATCAATGATAGTAGAAAATTGAAGATCAGTTGCAGTTTGGAGATTGAAGAGAAGATCTTAGGGCGTAGTATCAATGATGGTAGAAGCTTGGAAGAATGATGCGCAGATCTTGGAGCGTAGCATCAATGATGGTAGAGTATTTGCAAGTTGGGTAGATCTTAGAGCGTAGCAGCAACCAGTTAGAAGCCTAAGGAGAAGCTGTTGGGCAGTAGCATCAATGCATTCTATGTAAAACATGCAGAAGGTCTCAGAGCGTATCAAAGCGTAGCATCAAATAATGTTACTGTTAGAAACTCTTATCCCCGGTGCGTTACTTCTTTCCTTTCGTTTAACGCTTCCCTTCCATTTGCTACAGCGTTCCTTTCGTTTCAACTCGTCCCGTCCATTTGATACTTCCTTTCTTTCGTTTCAACACTCCCATCCCGTCATGTACTTCTTCCTTTCGTTTCAAGCCGTTCATGTGGTTACGTCCTTCCACTCGCCTCAATGCCTATGCAATCCTTTCGGTTACATGTTTCATTGTAACTAGCCTATTTTGTCTGTTACTTCCTTCTTTAAGTTTCAACACTCCCCCACGTTAGTTACTTCCTTCCTTACGTTTCAACTCCTTCCTTCCGTTTGCTGTCAAGTCGTTCATTTCGTTACGTCCGTCCTTACGTTTCACCTCGTTTATAAACCCCCTTCGTTACTTCTTCCCCTTCGTTTCACCCTTTCGTCGATTCGTTGCAACTCTTTCCTTTCATTCACTTCCTTCCTTTCGTTTCAACTCTTCCCTTCCGTTCGGACGTTCCTTTAGTTTCAACTCTTTCCTTTCATTCGTTACTGTCTTCCTTTCGTTTCAACTCTCTCCTTTCATTCGTTACTTCATTCCTTTCGTTTCAACTCTGACATCCCGTTCCTTACTGCTTCCCTTCGTTTCAAGTCGTTCATTGCTGGCCGTGGTCCAAGAGATTTCCTACTTGGGTGATTATAACAAAAGCATTCAACCTAACTCTGATAAAATTCATCTCTCCCCTGCGGCTGAAAAACATGATACGGATCGAACCAAAAGTGCTGGGAATCTGGTGAAGCAGTGCCAAGGGTTTGCTATACACAGGCGGTAAACAATGGTAAACACCGAGAAATTAACCAGCATCCACGAAAAAAATGGTACGAATCAAAAATTTACCAACACCCACGGTACAAGCGATAAAATTCGAAAAAATATGTCTTTCCTTTTTTCCCTGCAGGGGGCACAAGCGTATACGCGGTTGACAAACAACAGCCGCGAACCGGCCGAAGCAAACTGATTTTAGCTGTTTCCGCTTTCAATTTGTTCTTTCCGTTCATTGTGTCCTTCCTTTCTTTTCAACTCAATGTTTCCTTTCCGTTCATTGCCTCCTTCCTTTCGTTTCGCCGCTTCCTTTCCATGCGTTACTTGTGTCCTTTCGTTCCATGTCTGATGTTCCGTTCGTTACTTCTTCCCATTCGTTTCAACTCTCCGTGTCGTTTCAACTCTTCGTTTCCGTTCATTGCGTCTTTCCTTTCGTTTCACCTTTTCCCTACTATGCGTTACTTCCGTCCGCTCGTTTCAAGTCTTATATCCTGTTCGTTTTTTTTCCCTTTCGTTTCAACTCTTCCCTGCCGTTTGCTCCGGCCTTCCTTCTGATCTTCCTGTGTCGTCTCAACTGTTCCTTTCCGTTCGCTGCATCCTTTCTTTCATTTCAAGTCTCCTCTTCCATTTGTTACTTCCTTTCTTTCGTATTAACTCTTATGTCCTGTTCGTTTCGTTTTTCCTTCCGTTTCAACTCTTCCTTTCTATTCGTTGCATCTGTGCCTTCGTATCAACTCTTCTGTCTTGCTCGTTTAGCTCTTCCTTTCCTTTCACCTTGTCCATTTCGTTGCGTCCATCCTTTCGTTTTAACTCTTCCCTCCTATTTGTTATTATTTCTTTCCTTTCGTTTCAACTCTCACCTCACGTCTCACAGAAAACTTGAAAAAATGCCGTTCGCGAGAAACGCATTTTTTTTTCAAGTTTTCAAGGGTGGGGCCATTCGGGCTGGTATTTGCCGTCCAAGCAGCCACTTGCGGCCACTTGCGGCCACTTGCCCCAGCGGCCACTTGCGACCACTTGCGGCCATTTGCGGCCACTTGCGGCCACTTGGCTGCAAGTGGCTGCAAGTGGCTGCAAATAATGAAAATGGCTGCAAGTGACGCTGCTCTGGAAATTTCAAATCCTACCAGCAGAGCAACCGGCACGTGCGGCCACGTGCGGCCACGTGCGGCCACGTGCGGCCACGTGCGGCCACTTGCGGCCACGTGCGGCCACTTGCGGCCACTTGCGGCCACTTGCGGCCACTTGCCCTAGCGGCCACTTGCGGCCACTTGCGGCCACTTGCGGCCACTTGCGGCCACTTGCGGCCACTTGCGGCCACTTGCGGCCACTTGTGGCCACTTGCGGCCACTTGCGGCCACTTGCGGCCACTTGCGGCCACTTGCGGCCACTTGCGGCCACTTGCGGCCACTCGTGGCTGCAAGTGGCTGCAAGTGGCTGCTTTTTTGAATTTCAAATACCGCGCGTTTTGCAACCTCAATGCATTATTTCCCTAAATATCCGCCGTCTTATTCTTTCACTCTTATCAGGTATTGCTTTGTTTCCTCACCCTTGTGACAGTCAAAACATGTCAAAACTCAAAACCATGAGGGAGAGCTTTATGCAAAAAGTATTGTATCAGTATCTGCATGTCGTTCATCCCTATGTCAACTAAGTCAAAGTCATCTTCCAGTATCAAACACCAGCTTGCAATCACATATACATAATCTGCCAAATTGTCCAGCAATTGCAAAGCGAGAAGGGACAAAAAGGTCCTTTGCAGGACCAAAATGTTAAATTGCAAAGTTGCAAACAAAAGAAAATCTGCAACAGAAGAAAACGTACCCTGCCATAATCATAACCTCGCAGCGGAAAAGCCATGTTCAATAGTGATATCATAGGTATAAAATGGTATAAATCACCAATGATTGGCCGTAGCCATGCTTGTTGCGGAAATGTTTCACATAATCTTGCTGTTGTTGCTAGGGGTCCTTGGGTCCCTTTTACAAAATTTAAGTTTTATTAAAGAAAGGTAAGCGAACAAAAACTCGTTGTTTCTATCAATATGGTTGGAAAATTCATGCATACATGTTCACAAGTAGTTTTCAAATCTAACCGTAATTTTAATAAAGAAAGGTAAGCGAACAAAAACTCGTTGTTTCTGTTGGAAAATTCATACATACATGTTCACAAGTAGTTTTCAAATCTAACCTCAATTTTAGTTTAAGTTTTTAAAGAAAGGTAAGCGAACAAAAACTCATTGTTTTTATCAATATGGTTGGAAAATTCATACATACATGTTCACAAGTAGTTTTCAAATCTAACATTAAATTTAAATGAAAATAAACTGGGACAGCCTGCGCTGGGCCGCCATCCCAGAGCAACAGCGTAGCAGTCGGCTTAAAGCCGCCGCATCCCAAAGCAACAGCGTAGCAGTCGGCTTAAAGCCGCCGCCTGACAGTCGGCGCGAAGCCGCCGTCCAAGTTGGCGCAAGGCTGCTGCATTTTTCTTTGCGTCTATAGTTGCCCTATTCACCTTTGAACAGGGAAGCTGGAGGCATTACAGGTGAAAAGGAAATCCATCACTGCTCACTGTCAGGCGCATGCAGGTCAGCAGGGGCCCGGTTGTTAGCAGCAGGGCGCGGAAGCTGCAACAGGTCATTGATCTCCGCATGAACAACATCTCGAGCTTGGCCGGCATGGTCACGCAATGTGCGAATGAAAGCCAGGGTGTTTTCCATGTCTTGTTTGGAAATGTTCATGTCCTGGAGCAAATAGGGCTTGTTCTCATATGCATCATCAATGTCGTCAAGGATGACCAAGGATTGCAGGGCCCAAGCTCCAATTTCTACATAATCGGCCAGCCGGTTCAGCTTGTTGCGCAAGTCTTGGTGTTGGTCAACTTCAGGAGCTTGTGCTTCAGCAACTTCCGGTGTTTCAACTGCAGGGACTTGTTCGGCCATTCTTTAAAGATTTGAGACGATTGGATTTGAGCCGAAATCTTATTATACACACTTAAAGCTGTTCTGTCAGTTTGCGAATCTGCGAATGAAACAGCTAGAAGAATGTGAGGCGTTAAAAAAAGCTGCTAGTCAGCGATGCTGATTTTTCAGAGGTGTGCGCAGAGGCGGCCCATCGCCTCGGTCTGGGTTCGGATGTCGCCTAAGAATCTAACTTCGAATGGTGCCACTGTTGGGCCAAAGTGCGCTGAATCCAAAACGGGTATGCGATTCGCAGCCCAAATTCAGCGCTAGAAGAATTTGCTCAAGCCGTCCAAGCCTTTCACCACATGTCAGAGGAGACCCCGTCAGCCTCTTCGTCGTCTTTCTTGGCTTTGCGTGGCTTCTTCTTGGGCTTGGCGCTGGTGTCTTCCTGCTCCTCCTCGTCTTCCTCACCATCTTCTCCGGCTTCCTCTTCCTCAGCATTTTTCTTTGTCTTACGAATTTTTTTCTTGGCGCCAGCCTTGGCGTCGGGATCGATCTTCTTTTTTTTGCTCTTCTCTTCCGCACCGTCTTTGCCTTTGCCACCTTTGGATTCTTCACCTTCCTTTGCCACAGACTCGGGTCGAAAGTAGGTGGACCCTTCACGAGACAGCTCGCCCAAGATATGGTCCGTCAGGACAAGTTCCAGCCGAGATGCATGGCTTTCCGTGCCACAAACTGCAACGATTTTGGTGCGGCTGGCAAGGCAAGCTTTGCAAAATTCCCCTTGTGCGGGGGACAAATCCACTACTGCTGCAGCGCAGTAGCTAGCAACCAACTCTTGGTACAACTCACTGGGAGAAATGCTGGTGCTGAAGACGGTTTCTTCGTGCTCAGCAATGGCCTTGGGGTCGACCTCTGGCAAGGCTACGCAGCGCTTCTCTCCAAGGAGTTCAACTTTGTCCTTCCTGCAATAGCGAGACATGCTCGATTAGATGAAAAGACAGATTGACAACTATATAGAATGAGAAAGTGCGCCTATCAAAAAAACATAAAAAAACCCGCCTCGCCATCTTCCAAAGACCTGTAGCTGGCAGCGCAGTCACGAATCCAATCGCGTCTCCAGACGACCAGCCAGAGTAGATCGCCCGGGGCTTGTCTGGAAGAAGGACGCTCAGGGCTTTGTCGGAATAGAGCGTGAACTCCATTCGCTGGCTGTAGGAGTGGGCCTTCACTCTTTTCTTCCTGGAACGAATGCTCTCCTGGCACAACAAAGGCGGATGTTTTATGAAAAAAAAATCCGTTCATTGGAAAGAGATTGATCCGTCCTCGTTGAACATCAACCACACAGGCTGCGAAGTGCTGTCTTTCATGAAAGTCTTTGGCAACACTCCAAGAGGATCGAACACGGCAGCTAAAACACCTTCTCCAGGGCACTGGCACTTGCCGTTTTTGTCTTGCTGGGCGCCCAAGCCAACCAGAGTGGATCCAAGCAGTTTCTGGATCAGCGTTTCATCCGGCTTCCAGACTTTGCGAAGGTTTTCTTGAGAGCCTGGCCCCACACTTTCACCCAAAAGAGACGTGTCGATGTGGACGAGGGTGCAAGTTTTACCAACTTCAGGGCTTGGCAACTGGAGCTTCTCCACCATCGTAGTGACCCCGGATGTGTTTGTGGGCTCAGTGACGAATTCCACATACATGCGGACTGTCTGGTTTGCAACCGCCCTCCAGTACTGCGGGGAATGCTTGGGCAAGGTGTTTGGCATTTTTCTTGCCAACTTGAGGAGGTGGTCCGGGGTTTGACCTTCCGCACCAGCCTCTTCCTCCTCGTTTTCGTCAGCCTTGCCGTCCAGAGCTTGCAAAGCAGCTTTCTCTTCTGCCAGCTCATTTTCTCGTAGGTTCACGACTCGGTTCCAGGCTTCCAGGATGGTCTCCATCTCATTCAAAATCTCTGGGTGTGAGTGTGGTTTGATTCCTTGCCGCAGGATATTGTCGTACTGCTTGAGGAAGACCACGTCGTGGATGAAAGTGAGCGCTTCCAGGGAGGCCTTTGTCAGTGATCCTTGCCAGCTGACGTTGTCCACTGTGTTGGTTCGAGTCGTGGCAGGATCTCGGAGATGGTCTTTGAGAAGAACTCTATCAGAATCTTTGAGCTTCGCCTGCACGCACATGATGTCCAAGATGTATGTCAAGCAGCGCCATTTGAACTCGTAGAGGTGAATGCTGCCAGGGTTGTTGGAGCCACCGATCATGTCCTTCTTGCTCAGGTCTTCGTCTTTGATGACACCGTGGCACAGCAGATCATCAATGAGCTGGAAGATGAACCTCCGGGACGCCAAGCAACTGGGGCGCTGCGCCAATTTCTCCAACTTCACCAAGCTGTTGAAGCAACTGTCAGAACCTTTCAAAGTTTCCTGTTTGTTCACGATGTTGCTGATCACCTGGTCGGACTGCAACTTAGTGACAATGGACTTGGAAGCCGTGAAGTTCCACTCGCAGTAGTTCGACACATCTACTGCTGACTGGCCAGAGCCTTTCTGCGCAGTCATCAAATGCTTGCTCTTCAAAAGCTGTACAACTTCCGGGTCAGATAGCTTGCGACCCTCCAGCTTTTCCATCAGCGCCTGCAAGGAAAGACCCTATGTTATGGCAGATGAGATAATAATCATGGAACAGGAAAATATGATTGTCTATGAAAAAGCACGCCTGAAGATGGTAGAGTTCAGCAGCATTTTGCCAAGCAGTGCGGGTTAAGCTCTCGTGCTCCTGCTGCACAAGCTGCCGCTTGTTCAACGCATGCACCCACACGTCGGCTTCCGAGCACGCAGTCATGACCACAGGCACTGCAGTCCTAGCATGAATGATAAATACAAAATCGTCGACAATAAACTAAGACCAGAAAACAACAATCAAACAATTGAAGCCAAGAATCAAGGCGTTCTTCCAAGCTGTCTTGCTGGCTGCGCTGACACCTGCCTTGCCAAGCTCTTCAGCTGCTTTGAGAAAAATGGCGTGGATGATCTCCAAAGGCGAGATCACCACCAGGCCAGACGGTTGGTCTGTCAAAGCTGCGACATCCACTTGTACTTCTAGAAGCTTTTGAAAGAAGTTGTTCGGGCGATCTTCCGGGAAGTAGAAATCAGCAAGCTGTTGCACCCGCAAACGGTTGAGAGGCACTCCTGGCGCTGGATTTTTCCAGCAATCCAACCAGTACAGGTTGCAGCTGGCGATGTAGGTGCCATGGGACTCCAGCGCGACCTTGGCCTTATTCAAGTCGTAGACATCCTGCGTGGTGTCTAGGGGCCAACATCTGTCAATTCAATCAAAAATTTAAAGATTTATTTTTTTAATCTTTATGTAATTCAAAATGAAATGCACTCAAGTTTGAGAGGACGCTGTGTCCTGAATGCCGGACTTCTCCTGGACAGTGGCTGCAATGGGGGTGGGCTTCATCTCCTTCAAGTTGGCGCCAAGAGCTAGGGAGATGACAGCCAAGTCTTGCTTCAAAAATTCGTAGTACTCACTGTTGCAAGTAGTATCCACGGAAGACGGCTCCATCGCAGCTTGGTGGGCAGATGAGAGCTGGGGGCCAGCTTTCATTTTGTTCTTGGCCCCAACACTTGACTGCTTCTGGAGACTTTGCGCGTGCTTTTGTTCCTGGATGAGGCGAACCAAGCGCTTCCGCTCATCTTCTCGTAGACGCGTCTTCTCTTCTTCGCTGAAGTTGCCAGTCAAACTAGCTTCCCAAGTTGCGAGGTCTCTTTCCACAGCTTGTTGTTCGCCTTTGTTCAGCCTCCAAGCAGACGGGTGCTTCGTCGGCATCTTTTGGCTACACTACAGCTATGGCAAGTCGAGACTGATCGGCTGCGAGCAAAGCTACGGTCCTGTTGGAAAAAATGTAACTTTAACAATGTCTTAAAACACAGTGAGAGTTGGGAGAGCGCAATTTTTTTCTTGGCGGGCAGCTTCCGTCAATCGTCTCTGAAGGCAGCTTCAAACAAGCGATCCGACAAAGACGCAAGGTCGCTAGATTCGGCCCATGGATCTTTGAATTTCAAAGATGCTGGCCATAAAGAGGCGGCTTTGAGCGCACGTGGCAAAATGCGCATCAAGACATTCACGGACATGGAGTCGCCCAAAGCGCCCATGATTTGTTTTTCAGCTCCTTCCTCAGTGGTGTGATTTGTCTTCCTCATCACATTCGAAAGCATTCGGCGATAAAGTTCGGCAGGGACACCTTGAAAACGCGCGCATTCCACACCATCCAGTAGGCGCCGCTGCTTGGGGAGGTAATAGCCTTTTTGCTTGCACCGGGTACGGATGAGGCAAGGGCAAAGACCATGCATCTTGCTTTGCCAAGACGGGCTTGCGCCAATGTCTAGCACCAAAGTTTCGTTCCAAATGCTAGCACCATGCCGCTCTTCATAGGATGCTAAGTCCGCTTTGTAATTGCCGATGCGGCCTGTATCCAAGAAAGAGCTGAGACGTGGGCACTTCAGAGGCTTCGGAAATCGAAAAGCGATTTCCTGCCTGTGGGTTTTGTGAAAAGCTACAAAGTAGCATCTGCGTCGGCTCTGAGGAATACCATGTTCCATCGTCTGCATTTTTTTCATATACACCACGTAATTCAAAGCTCTAAAAAAATTTTTCATGGCTTGGTGTGTTTTATGGTGCTTCTTCTGTAAAAAGCCTACCACCTGCTCGAGGATCACAACGCCAGGCTTGCAAACAGCTATTTTCTTCAAGCCTTCAAACAGGAGAAGACCTCTTCGAAGCCCATCACGAGCACCAAGTTTTTTTCCGCAATTGCTATAAGCAGGGCAAGGAAACCCTGCGATATAGACATCGCAGGGAGAAGTAGTCGCCAAGCTCCGGTCAAAGATGTCACGTTGTAGTTGCTCTTTCTTTGTGGACAACTTGAAAGCCTTGTGCACAGCTTGCAACATGCATTGCTTCGTGGAGTCGATTTCGGTTCCGCCGACAAACTCGAAGTCTTGCTCTCTGAAACCTAGCAGACCCAAGGCGATTGTTTCTGAACCAATTCCAGCGCAGTCTGCAAAAACCCTAAGTTTTCCAGAAGAGCGCGCCGGCTTTCTTTTGTTTTTGTGTTCTTGAACGAAAGCACGTAGAGCTGCTATGTGATCATCCACTTGTGAGGACGGCAAGGCTTCATTGCGATTCTTCTTTGCCCCTATGCCAAATCTTCGTTTGGAGGCCATGGCAGAATCGCAGGTAGCAAACTGCCAAAAAAAAAGCAGCATTTTCTTTGTTGAATCTGGGCTGGGTTTCGAAACAGTATAATAACATTGTTTGACATGTTAGTTCAAAACTGACTATGAAATACGTTGTTTGGTGATGGCATATGAACACTTCAGCCAAACATTTTCGGAAATCTGTGAAATTTAAGACAATGTTTTTACGACACTGAACCTTAGGATTTTTTCGCGTAAGGATAGTAGCGATTCCCTACCCCCCTTACGCAAGGCCAGACCGGCCCGGGTTCGCGTAAGCATAGTAGCAAAACGCGTAAGGATGCTAACTTTTCGATTTGCTACTATCCTTACACAATTTGCTACCCCGCTTACGCAAGGCCAGACCGGCCCGGGTTCGCGTAAGGATAGTAGCGATTCCCTAGCCCCCTTACGCAAAGCCAGACCGGCCCGGGTTCGCGTAAGAACCTTTTTTTTAGCGCGCCTGTTTTGAATCCCCAAGCTTCGATTTCTACATCCTTCTTGGATGTGTCAACCACTGAACCCTAAAGTGCAGACGCAACTGGAAAGGATTTCTCTTTCACCTCACACTTTGCTGTCAAGTACTGCGCAAAAGCGGACTTGTCGACGAAAGTCTTCCAAGACTTGCTCTTCAGTTGTTTGGCATCAGGATCTTGAAGGGCAAGAAGAGTAATGGATTTCTTTTTGTCCAAGCTGGTCTCTTTCAACTTCCGCCAGCCACCCTTTTGTAGAACCCAGGCCAACACTTTAACGAACGCCGGATGTTCATCTCGAAAAGCTTTGCTACAATGGACTCCAACATGCTGTTGACCAAGTCGACGAAACACTTGGCCTTGATACTCCATCTTCAAACCAGGCTTGCCATGAAGTACCGCCTTGGAAAGCACACAGCCGCCTTGCGCCATTGCCAGCAGATAGATCTTCTCGGAGATGACGTCCGAATCTGCAATGAAGACCGACGCTTGCCGAGGATCCTTGGTATGAAAATATGTCAAATAAGAGCACCATTGAGTCATGGAGGAACCGGAAATATATTGCAGACAAGATGCCTGGACAAGCTGCAAAGGATAACAGAAGCCACGGTCAGGGGCCAAACCAGAGCACCAGGCCTTCCGAGCGCCCAGCGACCTCCAATTCCAAAGTTGAGCCTCGCAAAGCCGCTTGCAATTCGAAGTTCGCGCCGCCTGAGCTTCGATGCGCTTTTGGTCTTGTTGGGCTTGTACCTCTCTTTGAGCGGCCGCCTTTGCAAATGGTTCTGGACCTTCGTCTTCCGGCAACAGATAGCCGTTCTGCGAAGCCATGACTGCTTTGTCAAATTTTCTCTTCTTCTGCAAAGCCAGCTCTTTGGAAGCTTTGTCGGACAAAGGAGTTGTGTCTTCTGGGCCAGCCAACCGTCTGGATGACGCAGGCAAAGAATGAATCGCTTCTGCGACAGCTTTTCTCTTTCGCAACAAAAATGTTGTCTCAGAACTCTTTTTTTTTCCTTCTTGATGCCAGAATCCATTCTTTTCCTTCTTTGTGGACCTGTGTATTTTTTGACAGCCCCTGCAAAAAGTCGCCGGGCTCCTTGCAAAATAGTTTGCTCTGAATTTTCAGCCATTGTCAAAACACTGACGCATCTTCGCTCTGTATCAGCCGATTTCGGTCCAAAGCGTCCAGAATCAAAGCACCGGTCAACTTTGCTAAAGCTTTGCTCCACACCTGACCTGAGAAGATGTTTGGTCAAAGGCAAAAATGAGAATGAACAACTACACAGTTAGCAATTATAGACAAGACACGAAGATGGAGTCCAACATGTGTAAGCTTGAAGTGCTTTTGGAAGGTTGTCCAAGTGATACTTCTTCTTCAATGCCGAACTCTTTTGCGTATGGCTGAAGGCAAGTTTCCAAGCATCTCGGTTGTCCATCTGCGAGGTACGCTTTTGCGACAAGGCAATAGGCCGCAGTGCCTCCCACTCATGTTTCAGCCCGCCTGGGTCCAGATCTAAAGCCAAGGCAATACGGCGTAGGCATTGTGAAGTCTGCGAGGTAGTTGTTGGTGCTTGGGTGCCATTGTCGTTCAAATTGAAAACCATCATGGAATTGAAAACCTCGAAGTGTGGAAACTCTGCTCGCACAGTTGCTTCGCATAGCTTTAACCACGGCAAGAAGTCTTTCAAAGCCTTGTCTTGCGCCCCTGGTTGAAGAGCGAGTAGCCGACCTTGTCCCGCTGTCAAAGCGTACAAAGAACCTGACTTCAGAATGCCAAGCACATGCTTTGCGTAGCCTTCGACTTCCCAGGCCTTTCCCAAGCGAAAAAGCAAATGCAATTCATCCAAGAAGTGTCCAATTTCTTGGTTCAAGGCAGCTGGGTCTGTGCTTTCCGTATCCAAAAAACGGCAAAGCTGCATCAAAGTGTCGGCTCCATCGGCTGCAAGCGCCAGAAGCAGAAGCTTGTGAGAAGAGATGTTGGCCAACCATGTTCGGGCCCAGTCAGCGTCATCTCGCATGCCAGCAATCCTGTGAAGCAAGCGGAAAAAAATCTTCAAATGAAGCAAGATTCGGCCCAGGGGTTTTGCATAACTTGCAAAGCGATGTTTCGCTGCAGACAAGCTAGTCACTTGAGGAACACCCGTTTGCTCCAGCACAGCTTCTTCAAACCAACGCGAAAAAATGTGGGAGTTGAAGATCTTTTGCGCTGGGGAGGCGCTGAGCCGAATGGTGTCGTCGAAGATTTCCTGCCAACACTGACTACGACGACGACAAGTAAGAAAAAATAATAATTAAATCAAATTCTGTCAAATTCTGATTCTTAGCTGCACTCCTGGATGCTAGGAAGGCATGACCAGGGTCTCTTCACCAACCTCGTCGATGCGTGAGCAGCGTCTCGTCCTACCAAGACAACGTTGGGCAGAAAGGCCTCACGATTGTGTTGCTCATCGGCGCTTCGTCGGCTGCCCTTCATGATGTTGGAGGCGAGAAGTTCCGCGGGGTGGCTATCTGTAGTCAGAATGTGAACGATCGAGCGTAAGTGCTTGAATAGCTTACGATCGAAGCCACCCTGCTGACTCAAGCGATTCCCCATCCTTGGCGGAAGATAGTTTTCAGTGCAAAAGATACGAAGAGCTTTTGCAGTCGCCGTCACTATGTCTTCTGCGCCACCACCAGTCATACGAACGCAACCCAGCGTACCAGAGCACAATTCCAAGCACCCATCGCAAGCACGGAAACGGATCAAAAGCTTTCCTTTCCTCTCATCTCTCACCAAGCAAAGTGTAGTTGCCTTGGCCAGCTTGCTGCGCCAGACCTGTAGAAGGCTTTCTGAAATGCACCATTGCATCAAGGATGTAGTGTCACTCGGCACGCCACCATTCCGCATAGATTGGCCCTTCTTCATGTTGCTCAAGGCAGAAGCGAAGTCTTGCAGGGAAGGAGCTACCGACAAGTCGTCCTCGGTGATGTGCCCTTCTAGAAACCGAATTGCTTCCTGATGCTTCTTGCTGTCATGATGTCGTCTGAGCCATACCGATTTCAAGCGACGCGTCACAGCAAAGGCGGCGAAGTTGTCCTTGAAGTCATCACATCTGCGCCTGGCTGGCGTGGGCACGGGTCTCGGGGCGTTGCCCAAAACTGTGCCATTCGAAACAAGATGTTGAAATACACAGCAGACGCTGCAACCAAAGCCAAAGCCCGCATCCTGCGACATCAACGGTTGCCCGAACCGCAGCCAAGGAAAATGCCTTCTCCATTGGGGCCCTTTCCGCCCCCACCAGCATCTCTGACAAGTCGTGGTGCTGCAAGAGCCAGACTGCGAATGCTTCAAAGCACGACCATGGCCTAACAAGCGAACAGGAGGCTTTCGGCTAGCGAAATCTTTCCTTAAACTTACGTCTTTCCCCATACTACTGAGCCAAAACGTTCCGCGACACGTGTCAAAACAAAAGTCAGTCAAGCGAAACCAGACAACTGACAACTATCAGTTTACGGCAACCGCACTGAGTCAACAACAGCAGCGTTTTTTCAACCTCAAGCCCTGCGATGTTGCTGTGGTCATATCTACAGGCGTCGTCTTTTGCCGGCAGTCTGCGCCGGGCACTCAATGCTTCCCTTGGAACTCCTTCTCAATTTCTCTTGAGGCTATCTGAAAGTTTTCCAACTCAGACTCGAAGCTCTGTGCTGCTTCCCGCGCAATCCTAGCACTTGTCCTCAGAGCCTGCTGCGCCCGTGTGAGTGCACGGGCAAACACACTCGCCTTGCGAGTCAGGTCCTGCACCCGCGATTGCAGCCAAGCAGGGACAGGGGCGGCGGGGCGTGTTCCCATGGCCAAAGCTGAGGGCGGCACATTTGGAACAGCCAGGGCGGATGCAGGTTCAGCTGCCACGTCTTCCTCGGAGCTGTCGCCACTGCCAGGGCCAGAACTGGAGGAAGACTTGGCGGCCCTCTTGTCTACAGGCTCGCTCTTGCCTGCAGGCTCGGGTGCAGGCGTGGCCTTCTTGCGACGTCGGCGGTGCCCATCTCCTTCGCCGCGGTGCCCATGTCCTTTGTCACGTCTGCTACGGCTTCGTGCTGAACGAGCAGGCGCAGACTCTTCACCACCATGACCCTCTCGGTGATGACTGGCGTAGCGAGGAGCCACAACTTCAGGACTTGCTGCAGCTTTCGCACACGCGGTAAGGCCCAGTCGGTGCGACGGAGGATACAGAGGCGACGCTGGCTTTTCAGCACGTCGTCGTCGCTCTCGTCCTTCTCGCTCCGACATGGCTGCAGAGCAGAAGCGGCGGATGCAACGCAAAGGCTTGAGCATACCTGCCATGGGACAAACAAATTTAATCAAACGCAGCCAGGACCAGAACCGAGTGTCACTGTGACAACAAACCATGTGCACCTGGACCAGTCAGCGGCGGCATTTTTTCCAACACCCTTTGCCGGACCTTTGCCAGCAGCTTTCTTCTTATGTTTCCAACCACCGGATCGACGGGTCCACCCTCTCAGAGCTCGCTGCATTGCCCTTTTAGACACTGGCTCATCCTTCTCGTTGGTTTCTTTGTCCTCTTGGCCGCATTCCTCTCCTTCCAGGATCATGTAGGGATCATACTGCGTCGGCCAAGTCTCTTCCTCTGACTCTGCCTTTTCCTGCTTGAGCGCAGTCGACGTTGAGGGCTCCAAGGAAAGGTCGTCGTGGTCGGAGTCGTTGGTCTTGACCTTCTTCGTCTTGTTCTTCTTTTTTTTCTTCTTGCCGGACAGCTCTCCTTCAGGGTCAACTTCAGGACGACGACTGCGGCCTTCGTCGTGGTCCACCAAAGCGTCAAAGGAAAAAGAGCCAACGCTTTCCAAGAAAGTGTCCATGGCTTTCCCGGCCGCTTGAACCAACACTGAGCCATCTTAATAAAAAGCCAAGTCAGACCCACCAAGCACAAGACACTGTCACTCAAGACCGCCCAAATGTTTTTCGACGCACGACGACAAATCAAGTCCAGCTTGGGCAAGGCCAACAGCAGCACAGTTCATACAGTCGGCTACAGAAGCCGCCGTACAGCGGCGAGCAGCCGCCGGACCTGTAAAGTCGGCTATTTAAGCCGCCATAGACCTCAGCGGCGCGAAGCCGCCGAACATAGTCGGCTAAAGAAGCCGCCATGCTGCCCAGCGGCGCGAAGCCACCGGACCGGCATAGTCGGCTAAAGAAGCCGCCATGCTGCCCAGCGGCGCGAAGCCACCGGACCGGCATAGTCGGCTAAAGAAGCCGCCATGCTGCCCAGCGGCGCGAAGCCGCCGGACCGGCATAGTCGGCTAAAGAAGCCGCCATGCTGCCCAGCGGCGCGAAGCCGCCGGACCGGCATAGTCGGCTAAAGAAGCCGCCATGCTGCCCAGCAGCGCGAAGCCGCCGGAAAGGTATAGTCGGCTGAAGAAGCCGCCATGCTGCCCAGCGGCGCGAAGCCGCCGGACCGGCATAGTCGGCTAAAGAAGCCGCCATGCTGCCCAGCAGCGCGAAGCCGCCGGGCCACATCAACACAATCGGCCCAAGCCGCCGTGTGGAGTATAGTCGGCTGACAGCCGCCATACTGCTCAGCCGGCGCCAGGCCGCCGAGCCACATGACAGTCGACCACCATCGCAAGCAAGCAGCATTTTTTCGCCCGAAGAGCTGCAGAAATCCGCGGCCAAGGAAACCTAATTAATTCCAAATTATTAATGCCTCAGGCAACTCAATGGCCTCGACCTTGTCGCATCTTTAAATGCTTCTGCAAGCGTTCCCCAAGCGCGAGTGCAGTCTGTGTACCCTGCCGCCACAAGGTGAGGAGTTGACGAATGAACCACAGTCACAAAACGCGTTAAGCAATGCAGCCCAGGAACACATCCAAACAAGTAGTCACTCTGTTTCTGAAGCTTCTCTGAAGGCGTCCTTCTCAGAAGCACCATCTGCACGTACATTGGATGTGGTTTCTGGGCGTGCTCCTTCTTCACTGAAAGTGTTGGCCCTGTTGGTTTTTTCGTCGTCGTAGGTGGAGGCATGCTCGCATTCGTGACCATTGCTTCAGTCGCCAACCGAAAATTTAAAAGGGCCAAAAGCTGCAACTTTTCAGACCATACAGTCGACATTCACGCCGCCGTGGAGATGACAGTCGGCGCGAAACCGCCGTCTCAAATTAATTTTTAGGATTTGAAAACTACGTGTGAACATTTAAAATTATAAGAACATGACGAATTTTCTCTTTGAGTTTTTGTCCGCTTACCTTTCTTTAAAAACTCAAATTCTAAAGTTGTAAAAGGGACCCAAGGACCCCTAGCAACAACAGCAAGTAATTCTCCCGCTGATAAACAGAATTCTGAGTACATCGCTAGCGTGTCTGTACAGCAAAATTTCATTGGAACCACTTCCCATGACATTTCCATAAGTCACCCATAAAGTAGAGGGCGAGTTATTCATACAAGAACCGATGAATTAAAAAACATGAACAGAAACTGTAAACATCGTTTGCTAAAATAGAAGTTGCTACAAACTATAAACAAATACTTTGTCTGCCTATACTGCCCTTAAAGAATATGTCTCCAGAGACGCCCAGAAAACACAAATTTTCCATGTTGGACCTGTATGGTGATGTGACAATGGAGGGATGACCACCATTTTTTCAAGGGGGATTCCTTTCTTCCGTGGTAAATTCACAAAATTCATCAACACATCATGCATCCAAGCTACAATCTCCAACCTCTTTAGCATTGACAAAACCTGGAAGGACTGAAGGACTTGCACCCCGAGAGATTGCAGAGACCATCGGATCGGCATTGACAGAGACACGACAAATTCTGTGTCCCCGATCTGTCAATGATATAGACCACGTTGTACATTGCAGTGATCTTGTCAAATAAGCCAGTTGAAAAAAGTCATGAGGGATGGAGGGCTTCCCCTTTCCAGATACGACAGCTTGGGTTTGCGAATATCTACTGGGATTCAGCGATGCATGCAGTGTCGCTGTGAATGTAAGTCTGTGTAGCCAGTCGGCAAATCTGTGACGAAGTCGTCTGCACATCTTTCAAGCCACAGAATAAGCACTTGGAAGTATGATTCTCAGTAGGTCGGGCAAAAGCGTTGCCAGTCAATACAAGAAAACTCTTTCTTGCCGAGATTATTTGGAGCCCATGATGGAGCCTTTTATGCAAACCATTGGAAGCAAGTTATCAGTGCAAGGGTAAAAAGAAACTCGATGGCAAAGCGCTGAGAGGCATGCAGTGAGGTAAACACTTCCCAACCAGCAACCTGTCTGCCTTTGCCCACAATGAGGTCACTTTCGTTTGACTCTTGGCAAGGAGGTACTCAAGGACCTTCCAATCACCCATAGTTGTGATAGAGGCTGATTGTCGCCAAACGGAACGTTTCACAGAAAATTTCAGAATCTGTATGTCATCACTTTCCATACCATGCCTGTAGCTTGCTATCGTTGCCCACGGTTCGATTGCAATTCACGCTTACTGATGAGGCGGCCGGCGCCTGTCGATTTGATTTCGGCCCCGTCGGACCCATGCAAACGGCAAATGCCTGTGCTCCGAACCCGTGGTTGAACAAATTCACAACTTCCCGTGGGTCCACTTATCCAAGCAGTACTCAATCTGCCAATCTCCCTCCGCCGAGCTTGAAGCACTTGGGATATGCTGAGCCAAGGGCTGTCTACCCCCTCTCTGGGAGCAGAGATCGGAACCATCGAATTGTTACCATCGAAACGTTCACTTACTCAGTTGCGCATGTGAGACATGCACTGTGCACAGACTTGGCATCGTTGATGCAGCATGTCACGTGCACCGTCAAAACCGTCTGTGACATGTGTGCGCTCATGTGGAATCGACTGCGGCTCCACTCCCGGCCGCAGCGTCTTGTAGAACAAAGTTGCTTGCGCTTCAAACAAAACTCTGCGAAAGCCTCCAAGTTAAATGTGCCTTTCCCGATTCGTTAACAGCTCAACGTCTTTTTGCCAAGGCATGCGCCGACACCGTGCATGGTAAGACTGTCTTGCTGTTTCATGAAAAACTTCGATAGTCTGACAGCTTCAGGACCGGCGAGAGTCATTCTACAAGCCACGCGGTCTAAAATTTAGAGGGAGACAAAGAAACCGTTGAGATTTGAGACAGTTGAAACTTGGCTTCACGGCAGATCTCTTGGAAGTGAAATAAGAGCTGTTCGTTGCCACGTTCAGGACAGCAACATCTTCCAGAAACAGCCAAGGCCACAGGCATTCAAAACTTGTAAGCCTTGCTGGGCTTTGGCTCAGCGGCACTGTGGACAGCTTTGCATCCGTCGTTACAAGCTTCGCATCTTGCTTCGTTCGCCGCAGCAAAATGTTCCGCTTTTCTTCATGTCTCGGCAAGGAATGCTGAGAACAGAAATGCTCCTGTCAATCTGGCAAAACTTCAATCAACTCGCCTGCGGCCTGAAATCAGGTGACTGCCACTCGATACCCCTTAGTATCAATAGAAAGAATGCAATTTGATGGTCCAAAAGGCACTTTCAGCAGTTGAAAGATCTCCAGAGTCGCAGCATCGGAGATCAATTCATCTTTTTCTGAGCATGTCCCATGAACACGGAAAGACGAAAGGCCTAAAACCCTTCGCAAAACTGCGAGTTTAGGCATTGAGCTTCTGCACCTCATGGAATCTTCTGAATCAGTGTGCAGGAGACAAGCACCCCTTTCAAGCTGCTTCCTTTGGGGCACTGGATTTTGTAAACATCGTACCAGGAGAGGACCTGATCTGTGCTTGGCCAAATGCAATCTGCACTTGATTCTGTCCTTCCGGCAGATGCGCACAACACGGGTTTGACCAGTTCTACGCATTCCTAGACTTGGTCCAGGCTGCACCCTTGTCCTCCTCCTCAAATGATACGTCGTGGCTTCAACTGGAAGTCAAACAGCATTGAAAATACTTAGACGAGCTGGTGCAGCTAAGTATCACGCTTAAACTGCAAACAAGCCCAACGAAGCATGTTTCAATCTCCGGAAACGACAGAAGGCCAAAAAGCGACTGCGCGATACTCTTGTTAAGTCTGTTTGGTCTGGAATTAAAGGCTCACATTGAGTCTTGTAGATGGCCCTTGTCAATTTTTGCTTTCAAGACTTCTATCCAAGCACATAGAGGTCGGCCGATTGCAAAATTCCATTAAGGTCTGGTCACAAAGTACATCATTGAAATTGCAGTGCTTCACTTTGCATTTTGTAAGCACTAGGAATTGGCGCCGACAACTTGAGAACATAGGTAAAGGTGGGAGTGGCTTACTTAAGCCTTGCAGAAGGTGCCACGCTGACATGACTCCAAAGCACAGCTGTGTGTGCTCAACTTCGAACAATAACTGGCATCATCTATGCGATACTGGACTTTGATGCCGTCGAACTAGAGCGAAACAGCAACAGCACCTCTCCGAAGCTATGGCTGACCGGAAGCTCTTGCATTTACACAGGCGAGGTCTGTGAAAAGCTCGGACTGGCCCTCAGGGAGCTTTTGGTTGAGCACCAAGCATCGGCCGGGGCGTGTCACACATGTCAGACTTCAAGAAAAGACAAAGTAGCTCTGTCTCTGATGGGTGCGCATGCATGGAGACAATGCTGGCAAATTACTATCAAGCAGGACACAGTCTGCTCAAGGTCAAACCATGCCTCTTGCTGCAAACTTCCTTCATCAGGGTGTGAGAGTTCTTGAAAAGGTCATTACTCTTAGGCAGTCCAGGCCACTGTGGGTATTCTCGAATCTGCTTTAGATGTTGTGAAAGCCATATCTAGCAAATGGACAGTCTCGGAAAACTCGCATGGAGTGAAGCGCTCGGTTCTGCAGTCAAGCTTGCCACTGAACTCGCCACAGGCCAGGCGCT